TCTCTTCAGACGAACAGGAGGAGACTCCTCTTCTTCATCACTAGAGATTTCAATCTCCTGAACCTTTCGTTTCTTGGGAGTGGTTTTCTGAACACCCAGAAAGATAAGAGTCGAAGACATCAGCATCTATACCAGAAAATAGTAAAGGAGAAAGGTATAACAGAAAGTGAATACCTTTGGTGAAGGGTTCACAGAAGGGTCTCCCCCTTTGGTGCTTTCAGCAACCTTTTTTGTGCTGGTCCTCTTGACAGCTATACAAGAAACAAATATAAGTTGACGTCGAAAGATTAAATCTAAGACAAAGAAACAAAAAGAAAGAAAATATTACCTTTATTGATCTTGTCAAGGACCAGTTTGAACGCCTCGCGAAGGTGGTGGGCGAAATCCTTCTCGTTGAAGAATTCCTCGTTATAATATTGCCTCCACCACCCCTCAAAATTGGGCGAACACATAAAATTGAGATTGAAGTCGAACAGAGTTAGTACGGTCCGACCAACGTACCTACCAATGTGCTTGGTAGGAGCATCCTCTGAGTAATCTGCATTATAAAATAATAGCAGTTTTTCTCGAGAGTAGATGGGAGATGGGAGTGACTGGACAATACCGAATTGTCGAGAGATAAGATTCGGTTGGTAAGCAATCAAACTTAATTGATTCTTCGAACTCTTGAATCTTAGTGGCATGATTCTGGGTCGAAGAAACGACTCCCAAATGGCCACATATTCGTCCTCCAAGTCCTCCTCATCAGCCAAAGGAAATGGTCTGGTAAACCATTTGGGGCCAACTTTTTGACTGGCAAAGGGAGCCATGTTCGAAACAAAATTTTTGCGCTCTGCAAACATCATCACAAAGCTGGTGAAGGCCTTTTGAAATTGCTGACCCTCGTCAGTCGGAGTCAACAAAGCTAGCCTGGTACCTTTGACCCTCCTATTCAAAATTTCTGGGGCTTCTTTGTTTATCGTATTCTTTTGAGGAAGAAAAGATTCAAAGGTGGTGTTGAGCCAAAGTTGAAGAAGCCAAAAGGGGCCAGAAAGGAGCAAGATTGCCATGTCTCCTATGACTTTGAGTTGAGTCACACCGTTGCTGGTGGACTCATATAGATTGGCCAGAATCAATTCAGCCAAGCAGAGAGGGTAGCCATGATGAAGTTGTGTTGCAAGCGTGAGCATCTTCTTAGTCACTTGAAGTGACTTGGTACAGAAGACGAATCGAGACAACCACATAGCCAAGAAAGCTATATGTTCCACCTCTGACACAGTACTGCAGGATTTATCATGAAAATGGTTGATGAATGTGGTGTATGTGGGCTTTGTAGCTGAAAACCCAATGGCATCTTCAGATAAGTCCTCTAGGTCGAAGTAGTCACTAGTTGGTCGAAGGCTGGTGATTGCTGCTATGTCGAAGAGAGTTGGGGTCACCATTCCACAAGGAAGGTGAAATGTGAAATGGGTGTTGTCCCAAAAATATAACAAAGACACTAACATAAGAGGGCAGTAAGACAACCCTGTCTTCGACAGCATCACCAAATCATAAATCCCCATTTCCTTCTAAACTGGGGTTTGTACCTTCTCCATCTTATTCAGCCAGTCTGAATATTCTGAAGAGAGACTAGGGCACGATCGAAAGATCTTGTTCCCTTTGTTCATGAACTGAAGGTTAATGTCCTCCTTTGTCTGAGCGTGCTGCTGGTTAGCTAGAGTTGCATCCTCAGGATCGTTCCTGGGTTTCTTCGCACAACCTATGGGCTTGAGCCTAAGGTGAGTGGGGAAGAAAGCACGATTTTTCATGGGATCCTCGACGCATGCAGATAGAGGGCCAGACATGGCATATATATTCTCAGAATATCTAACAGGGATGAGGAGCTGGGAATTGTACGCCTCACGCCTTTCTTTAGTCATGGGTTCAGAAACGAACCTTGGCCCCTCAGTCGAAACAGGAGAAGAGCTTGTGGAGAAGATCTATGGTTGACGCTGTACGTCAGCAACATTCTTAGGTTTGGGGTTGTTGGGAGCGTTAGAGAGGAAATCCATTGTTATGAGGTAGTAAGGAACGAAGATGACGGTGTAAGGTGTTTTTCTGCAGAGGAGATTAAAAATGCTAAGTGTTGTGAAAGTTCCAAAAGAGAGGGCTCAAGGCTATTTATAGTGTCCAGAAGGAAGTGTGTCTCGTCAAAGCCATTTAATGCTATGAACGTAGTGGGGCACGTGGCAAGCAACAAAGCAGTTATCGTGCAGGTGATGGGGAATGTTTGACATGCTTACCTAGGTTCTAGGAGTAATGGTCATAATGGAAGCATGGTAACGGCTGAAAAGACGTCTTGGGAAAAGAGTAATGATGGTTCTGAGTGCGGTAGTTGTCGGAAGGCGAAAAGCGCACGTTACGCCTTTTGGACAAAAGAGACAGGTGTCGAATAGGAATGTCAAAGAATGACTATTTCTCTCGACGTCGAAACAAGCATTCTTGGGGGGCAATTTGTTGGCTCTTGAATTTGATACCTAATATATATTGGCCCCATAGACCAAAAATAGAGCAGATAAAGCCAAGCTGGAAAATGCTTCGACAGATGGAAAAAACTTAGAGAAAATATCTGAGTTACAAATTGGTCTTCGATCAGACATCACCATCAAGCCTTCGACGGGAAAGGTTATGTGACCTTCGACTAGAAGAACAAACCTTCGTGTCAGCACCAAAGACGAAGGATATTTGAATTTGAAGATTGGAGGGAAATGCAGTTCGCCAGCAGTTAAGAGAAAGCGACGTGGCAGGAAAATAGAGGTTGAGGGACATGCAGAAGACACTTGTCTTCATCCTAGAGCAAAGTCACCCTCGACAGTTACATAATTTTTGTATAAAAATAGGGAGTTTGTGTAGAGTTTCCAGGTGTTCAACCTATTGTGATAGTTACTCAATATTATTCAAGTACCCGCTGTGTATGAAAGAATAATTGAGAATGTACGTTGGAAACACCATTTTTTTTATTAATAAAGTCTTTTTACATTGCTTTGATCTTCTGTTGCAAAGTTTACATTTCCTACATCTTTACCTGCACTTCTAGTTACTTTCTTACTTTCCAAAACCATAAACACCACATCCTTGGTCGAACGTGCGTTCTTCTTAGATATTAATTTTCACATCAAACCAGCATAAAAATTAGTATATGTTCTGCGATCAATCTGATCGATCCCGCAAGTAACTAAATGGACTTTCCTTTTTGGAGGATCAATGGTTGTTTACCAAAAACCACGGTAAACAACAGTACACTATCTTTAATTTCATTCAAAAGAGAAAAAGAATTATACACTGAAAGTGTAAAATATTTTTACACTGTCAAATCATATTTTAAACTTAAAAATATTGATATTATATGATAGAATGTTATAATTCTATTGAATGCTAATGTAAAATTAGTTTGCACCGACAATACACTACGAGTTAATCCCATTTTAAAAACTGATATGTCAATCTTAATTTTTACTATAGTAGATACATTAATATTTCACATGTCACTTTTGTTTACATTTGATTCCGGATGAAACAGTTTTTCACATATCAAAAACTACTGATATCGTCAATCTTAACTTTTACTATAGTAGATAGTGTGAGAAGAAGAAAAAAAGTATGTAGATACCAACATTATATAATATTCCTAGTAACTAAAATTGATTTTTTTTTCAAGTTAGGTTGTGTAAGAACCTTGATTGTGGAAGGAAAAAAAATTAATTTAGGGCATAAACTCGAGTAAGAATTACAAATAATCAATTATTGTTACGTTAACTCGTAATTTTTTATTACTTCGTTAACAACCACAAGGAGCCAAACCCAATAAAAATTATATAAATGTCAATTTAAGGGTTCTTTTATTATAGATTCCAATAAAAGAATGATTTTAAAATAAATATTTTATTTTATTTTAAGAGCATTATCTATTGTGTTTGTTTTAAAATGTCTCTTGGATGTCTACAAAAAATTTGGAGAAAGAAATAACTATATAATTTTGATTTTGTATTTCTCTCTCTTCTTTTAAAATGATTTTCTTCACAAGTTAATCAAAATAGCTTTTTATTTTCAACATAAAATTCCTTCTTTAACAAAATGATGTTTGAAAAAAAAAACTAACATATGACTAACACATCAAAAAAAAATATTTTTAAACAAAAGGACCTAAATATTATTTGCTGAATACTTTGGCAAACTAAAATAGGCTAGCTTAGAACCTAAAAATAACTAATTTTATTTTTAAGTTCTTCTTCTATTGAAATGGCTTTGAACACTTTAGGCCTTTCCCAAACAAGCCCATAATTCAAACCAATAAAAGCCTTATCCAGTAAAAATTAGGTTTATCTAAATATTTGGTACCAATTTTTTTTGTAACTCTAATAAATTCAGTAAATAACTTAATTTAAATTTATTTAAAATGGTAAGAGACTGCAATTTGAACTTTTTTTTAGGGGTTCACAATAAACAGCCTCATTCAAGTTGAATTTGTCAACTCAAAACTAGATTGCCAAACGGGCGCCCCTTAGTTTAGGTCCATCCAAAAACCTTCAAGAAAACTGGAGCGGACATAGTTAAAGGGGCGAGTTTAAAATCTTGACCAATTCCGCGAAAAAATGAGGTCAGAAAGGGACAGACATTGAACCTTTAAAGACTAAAAGATGTAAAAGGTTTTGTAATCTCGCGATGTAAAAAGTTTTGTAAACTCGCATTCAAAAAAAGGGGACGGGTGGGACGGACATGTTAAAGGATGCAGATCGGACCGGACCTGCAAAAATAATGACAAAACAGACATGTCCACCGGACCGGACCTGTTTGTTCCAACAAGAATCCAAAAGAAGACATTTAATATTTTTTTAAATAATAAAAAATATATTAAAATTTATTTAAAAAAATGTATATTCCCCTTAAGGTTGCTGGTTCTTACCGAGATGCATCCCCTAATCGAAATTCTTCTGCATAGACTCTATAGACTATAGTATTAATTAATTGCTTTATGGTGGCAGATGTCATGCAAGGCACCGGGTGAGGAAATAGCTTACAAAACAACACTATCAATCCTAAACAAGCTGTCAAACTATTCATGGGTTGCAAAAGTACTTACTCTTTCTGCTTTTGCTCTTGAATATGGACACTTCTGGTTTCTATCACAGTATCAATCAACAGAACCACTTGCCAAATCATTAGGCATTATCGACAGAGTTCCTCAGCTCACCAAACCTCAAGCGCTGAAAAAACACTGCAACGCAATTTTGGAACTCAACAATCTGATCAAGGCAACTTGGCAAGTGATTGATATCATCATTGAGTTGGAAAGACTCAACTCACATCATGATATCAAGCAAGTTCCAGCTCTTGCACCAGCCTTGGAACAATTCCCTGTTGATGTCTATTGGGTTATCATCACCATTGTTGCAATTGTTACTCAGTTTGAATGCCTCACTACTGATTCGTAAGTTTCAATATTATTGTAGAAACTGAAACCTTGTATTGTACATAATTAAGTTAGCTACATTAACAGTTACTAATATTCAAGTTTTTTAATTTTCAGGGATAAGAGGCAGGACTTATCTCCATTTGGTCAAAAGATAACATAATAATCAGCAAACTGGGGAAGCATGTGTCACAAATCACTATCCAGATTGGTAATTATAGCTTGTATAACACAGGAGTATATAAAGATTTATTCATATGTTTTTGTTTCGTCGACCCAAAAGTAAGTATGTTTTTCTGAGATTGAAGGAATTTTTTTAAAATTCTCAGATGAAGCAGAGTATAACAAGTTACTCAAGAAGCTTTTTCAAACCCCGACGGAAATTATGGATGTGTTTAAGGTGTTGATTTTCTGGAAAAACACTCCAAAAGCACCCATCATCTATGAAGGTTCCACTAAAACACTGGTTAGTATTAACCAGATCGTAATTCCTTAATATTATGAAACTAAATAGATTTTCTAGAATAGCTCGTCTATGTTTAAATATGTTGTATAATTAAACAGGTAAATATTGAAGTGTTGAAAAAGAAAGATGTGTTCTTGTCATTTCAACCCTGGACATCAGTCAAGAAGACATCTCAATTTTGATTCCAATTTATGATCATATGAAGAAAATAGGAAGCCAACACAAGATTATGTGGGTTCCCATTGTGGAGGAATGGAATGATAAGTTGAAGAAATTTTTTGATTCTTTGAAGTCTAAGATGCCTTGGATATGTTACATCACTTTGAACCTATAAAAGGCATCAAATACATAAAAGAGGAATTGCATTTCAAGCAGAATCCTTTGGTTGTTGTGTTGAGTCCACATGGAAAGATTATACATCAGAATGCATTCCATAGGATTCAAGTTTGGGGAGTAAAGGGATTCCCTTTCTCCAAATCCAAAGAAGAATCATTGACCCAAGAATTAATGTGGGTTGATTCCCTGCTTGTTGACATTGATATAAAGATTAAATGGGTAAGTTTTTTAATGGTCTTAAATCTTGCAATCTCTCTTATTATGATGAAAGCTCTTATATATTACAATAGCTTTATGAATTTAATTTCGATGTACTAAGAGTTTAAGAAAAATACTATATAGAAACATATGATGAAAAACATGACTAATAAATTTCGTGTTTTCTTTGAAAAATGAAGGAGGAAAAATCTGTCATCATTTATGGAGGCAAAGATAAGGAATGGATTCAAGAATTCACTAAGTATGCTGGTGCCCTAGCAAATGACACTGCTATTAAGCAGGCAAAGACTTCAATAGACCTGTTTTGCTTGGAGTCTCAACAGCCAAATGTGGTTAACAACTTTTGGAAAAAGGTAGAGAGTTTGTTTGTGACAAAGATGCATGAGAAAACAAACACAGTAACACAACAGGTTAAGAAATTGCTATCATACAAGAATGAGACAGGGTGGGCAATTGTAACCAAAGGGACTACAGAATGTGACTTCAGTTGGTCATGGGACTACAGTTTTTAAAACAGTGGCAGAGTTTGACAAATGGAAGGATGTGTTTATCAACAAAGGCTTTGAATTTGCATTTAGACAACATCATCACAAGGTTGCTAGTACCTTTCATCTCTGCTCCCACCTTGAGATTCCTAATGTTGCTGGAAAAATCCCAGACTTTATTGAGTGTCCAGATTGTCACCGCACAATGGAAGTGTTTATTAGCTACACGTGTTGCCATAATGGGGATAAGGTTAATGGTGAGCATTAGGTAGCGTCATCGGTATTTAGCATTAGAGAGCTATGTACTATGTTTAATTATTACATTTTTTTCTTAGTAACTTTTTATGGTCGTTTCAGTTTTATGTACCCGAATGCAATGTAGCCAAGAGTCATGCATTATCGTTGATCACTGTAAGATCACGAATGCAACTAGAATAAGGCTATTTGTTAACTTTGCATTATTCTGTTGTATGAATAAAATGTCATTTTAAGTCATGTGCCCTCGAGATTTCACATGAGATTTTTAACACTACTTCAAGCTTAAAGTACTGTCATAAATTTTCTTCTCCAACTGAAAAATGTAAATTATGTCTATCACACAGGACTTTTTCACATCATGACTGTGTTTAATTATAAGATTATTAAGAATAAAATAAGGGACTTCGAAGATAAAAGTTATACCTTTTTCTAAGGAATCTATAAAAAAAAAATATAAGTAGAACCTGAAACATTTATTTTTAACGGTAACAGTTGTATGTTTGTTGTTATTATTGTGTTCTAAGCTTTTTGTATTCTTTACTTCTCTTAATTATTGCTTACTTGTTACCAACATTTTAGAACAGAAAGTTGCAACAAGGGAAATAAACAGAGATTACAGTTAAAAAAGAACAGAAAGTCAAGGAGGAAAAAGAATGATGAACAGTTTGTATAAAAAACGATTCAATTAATTTCAAGCAATGAATCTAAAGAAGGGATAATTACATGGAAAATCATACATGTTTTTAATTCCTAGAAAACCTTACATATGGGACAAATTCCAACAGAAGGCAGAAGAAATCCCATCCCAATTAAAACAAGCTCAGACAACATAATATAAAGAAGTGAAACTCAAGCGCATAGAACAGTACTACAAACGAATGTTGGTTGTTGTCACGCCCATCATCTATTTGTTTTGTTGAGGACGCTTCATTTTGAGAAGATGTGATAGTCCAGCTATAACATGTAAACGGCTACTTGGGACACCCGACTTAGCCAGGGCCCTTCCTTTGTTGTCAATAAGCACAAAGCAGGGGACATAACTAACATCATAATTAAGGAGCTGCAAAAGCAAGAATTAATTATAAGTCATCATGCGAAGAAAAAAGACATATGATATAGCTAAAAGGGTATTGAAAGATAGTAGAAACACAATTCCATATAAGGATGCAAGAAAAATATCAAGAAGTACTAGATTGAGCTGTTTCCAGAGGAAACACAAATAGACTAAACTTGATGATTTACGCAGATGGGGGAAAACACGCCACCAACCTTTGATGAGACAAATGAGTGGTCAACAATGGAGGTGAAGACAAACGATGATTTATATGAGTGGATGAATCAAAAATGAATTGAACCTAGTTATGGAGCTACATATATAATCATCATCATCATCATCGAAAATAATGGCTGATAAGCTAAACAAGATAATGCAATTTGAATACGTATATAGTGTATTGAAAATAAAATACCTCTGGTAGCCACTTCTCATTCTCAGCATCAGCCATGACAACATTAAGCCATTGATCATTCCTTGTTTCCATTTCCAAAACAAAATTAACCAATGAATTACAGAGCCTGCATTTAGGCGAGTAAAACTCTAGCAACGTCGCCTCCTTACCACTTGCCAGAGCAGCAGCAAACGCTCGCTGCTCCGCCTCGGCCTGCTCCAAACCATTGGAAGTCACCTTCTTATTCTTGTTCCATGTCAAATTCATTTTCTTGCTAGGTTCCAGGGAATTTGGAGTTTGAGAAGTTGAAGAATTTGAAAGAGAATTGGCGAAATTGAAAGCTAATGATCCAAGGTTTTGGAGAGACCTGAATAACCAAGGAGGCTGAAAATTGTTGCAGGGGTTAGGGGTTTGGGGGATTTTCGGGTTAGGGTTTAAAGCATCCCATGGCCATTTCAGACAAAAGGAGGATTGGTTAGGATTAGGATTAGAAATCAAACTCATCTCAGCCTATCACCGGAACAATATAGAAATTGGTCAAATAGAACTGCAAAGCTACTAACACGGTAAGAGAACACCGCACACTGGAAAAGTTATAGACGCGATTTGAAAAGCCTCTTTGGATTTAGATTAAAAGGATTTTATAGATAATTCCCTAGAGGAGGGTTTAAATTTCCCACTAGTAGAACAGAAAATAAGATATTTTAATTTTTAAAAGTTGCCAATTTATTTTTTCGTTCAGTTTAAAGATGAAATTGATTTTCTAATATTGTTGAATTAAACGTAAAATTATTTCTTTGAGGTTTAAAGTGGCATAAAAAATCTTTTTTAAGTCTAGAGTGAGACCAATTATAATTAGTTTTATACTTTTTTTAGGAGCATGAAAAAAAAGTTATTTGTAATTTAGTCTTGGTGGCGCAAAGACATGTCCTTACCGTTTAGGTTTATTGTACAAAAATTCGTAAAAAAATGGGATAGACATATTTGAAGGTACAAAGTCTAACATTTTAATTCGGTGCAGACTAAAAGTAAGGAGGAAACGGACTCACGGGCCCTATAACTTTTAAATTTAAAAATACAAAAATTCATATAAATTTAATGTCTGAAAAAGAAAATAACTGAAACGAAACAGACATATTAAAAAGTGCAGACTAAACCCTTAACTTTAGCCTTTTCTCGCAGACATATTAGAGAGTGCAAATTAAACTCTTAACTCGCCTCGCATATAGTGCGAACAAAAACATTGCCCAAACAGATTTCAATGAAGTATATGTAGAGCAATAGAGTTAAATCTATCTTTGATGAAAATATAATGCTTAAGATAAAACTCATGATACCTGGCAAGAGAATGACTATTTTTTTTATTTGAAGCGAATAAATTATGAGAAATGTTATTTTGATATAAAATTTGATATTGACATTGTATAATCAAACAATTTCCAACTTTTATTTGGAATTGGAACAAATCATTGTTATAGTGCTTCCTTTTATATGTGCTTTCTACCTATGATGATTGCAATTACTCTTTCAGTTTTTCGTTATTGGTTATGCACTTCTGTTCGATGTCTAAAACCAAGTTTGATATCCACCCTTCCAGAAATAAAATGCTGAAAATGTAACAAAGCTTCGAAAAAAATTTATGCACTTCCCTAATTTGGATCGCAGAAGGTTTTCTGCTTTTCTCATTTGTAATGAAAGCCACCACTTGACAAGCTTAGGTTTTGGCTTGCATTGTACCCTTCTGCTAGTAAGTTTTACAGTTCTGTTTCTCTAGTACTCAAATGCTGATCTTGAACTATTAAAAGTATCTTAACTAATATATCATCAGCTAGTAGCAAATAATGGAACTCTCTCTAAACGAGTCCATTGATAAAGTGTGATGGGCATATACAGAGCACAACATGAAATCCTCCAACAAAATCCTCGTTTTCATCATGATACCTAACATTAATGTTTAGCTACACGAAAACATAACTACATATCAGAGGGTGAAATTGGGCCCAGATAATCCCCTTCCAAGCCAACCAGCGCCTGAAACTCCCTCTCTGCCTCCATCCACTTTGTCCCGATCACCACAACTCGAACCTTGACATCTTTCGCAATCTTGGGCATCTTCTGATTCATGAAGTATGGATTTTCACCGAGAACATACTCGTAACCAGGCATCTTGCTGCTTGAGAGATAAGCATTCTCAATTGGACCAATCCGCATGAAAACCCCATGCTTCAGCACCTTGTGGACTGTCCCCTCTAATACCTCACCCTTGAACATCTTGAAGGTGACAGCACTAAAAACAACAGGGAAGAGGACATCCCCAGTGTGTTGTCTCACTTTCCCCTCTCCTATTTTATCCAAGGTAGTCACCGCAAGAAAGTATCCCAAATCCTTCGTTGCCTTTTTAGCCGAGAAGTCGCTTAGAAGGCGGATGAGGATTGCCCGCTGAAGCATAAGACTGCCTGGCTTCAGATTCTCTGCGGCAATGATGACATTCCAAGCAAGCTGCACTTTGAGAAACATGATGCTACAAAAATATACTCCAGCATCAGTATATTATACTCCCTCTATTTCAAAATGACTGTCGTTTTAACAAATAAATTTTATTTCAAAATGACTGTCATTTTCACTTTTCAATCTAATAATGATTACTATTTTTCCAATTACGTCCTTTACTTTTACTCTCTACACTACTTCCAATACATTAATAGGGTTAATTTTGTAAAAGTATAATGTCTTATTACAACATCATTGCATTCCTTAATTTATGTGCAAAAACCTTAAACGAAAATCATTTTGAAACGGATAGAGTACATAATTACAAAGGAAACATAAATTCAGAAAACAAATTCACAAATCAACATCAGTTAACAAGTAACGAGTTTGACAAAATTAGGATGACACTTTGATTTTATTGTAGCTCCAACAGTCACTCACCGTGATTCTGACAATTTCAAGGCAAATCCAAACATGCACTAAAATGATGATCATATTCAGTGGTTGAAGCCAAATCATGAACATAAAAATGTAGTATCATCACCAATCAAAGATAAAATGCACAATGCAGTTGAAAATTCACAAGCAAAGTTGAGAAAAACCTACAGATTACAGTGTTTTTTCTCCAGCCACTGATTTTACCCACAAACCCTATTCTCAATTGAAGGGAGAAAAAAAAACAAAAACAATAATCTAAACGAGAAATACATGCATATTGATGAATTCGTAAGAGAAACATAACAATGCGATGATCGAAAATATAGAACTATCAAAACTTGTTGAGAAGAATCAGAAAACTAACCGAATGAAGAAACGAAGAGAGGGGAGTGAAGAGTGTTGTTAGGGTTTCTTACTTTACTTTGATCTGGGAAATGAAATGAAGTAGAAGCCCTTTGTACACCGAATAGCTCATTTTTTTTCTATTACAGCTTCATTTTCTTAATAAACTTTATTACCTTTTTGTCCTTTAATTTGTTCTGTCTGAAATTTTGATCTCTAGCTTTTTTTTTAATAACCTTAATTACCTTAATTATTTTGTATTTACATTTAAATATTTAAGTTAAGTCCTTCATTATTTACATTTGTTTAAAATACATATATTTTTCATTAAATTTAACTTTCAAAAAAATTAGAATTGTAATCTCTAATAACTCTAATCTTTAATTTTTTAATTTTTTAATTTAAAATTTAAACTCTATATCACAAATTCATTATTCAACCCTCAAAATTTTTTAATAAAAATATGAAACTCTAAAAATACGCTTAGCGTGTAAAATATGATAAAGAAAAATTGATAAAAATGTTATAATAGTGAAGTGGTATGTTTATAATATATGTCTCTTGTGTACACGTGATAATGGTATTAGTTTATTAATTTATTAAACTTAAAATATTAGAATAATTTTTAAAAAGATAGATTATTTTTTATTAGGGAGATTCGATAAAGTTGTGATAAAATCGTTTTTTATACAAAAGGAAAGTTAATATTTAATTTTTGACATTAATTTATTAATTTAAACCTGTATCTTTTACTTATATCATATTATATTATTTTTTTATTTTTTAAATTATATTATTTTAGAGAAAATGTCTGATTTACTTTCTCGTTCTGATCAAATTTATTATAAATTTTAAGATTAATTTATGATTTGTCTAGACCAAAATATTCTGACAATACTTTGAGATTGTTGTTCCAACATAAGTTAGGTTAAGATAATCGTGTTGAGAGAGTTTATTCAATGATAAGTTTATTGCCTTCGGATTGGATAGACACTAAGAGAGAAGAGCGATGGGTGGTACTTGAAAAGACTCTCTAACACTGAAATCAATAATTGATTGAGGCAGAAGAAGAATTCTTTTAAGTTTTTTGGAGTATGTACTTGTTTTGACGATTGTCGTCCTCTTTTATATAAATTTCAATAGGATTTTTGTTGATCCTCTTTATTAATCTCTATTTAGATTGTTCATGTAGTTAGATGTCGAGATATGAATCGTTATGTGATTTAACGGTCTATATTATATTTTACACTCAGATTTCGTGCTTTCTTAAGGAAAGACTAGTCTTGTTCTTCAGGTCCCAAAATGTTCCAAATAGTTATGTACATGTGAGATCTTGGTGGTGACATCGCCTTTATCATTATTAGTTAAACTTGTACATTTCATGTGATTTTTCATTTGTTGGGCCAAAATTGGTCTAGATTGGACTAACCATGATCAAAATCCATGGGCCTAATGGTTGTTGGGCCAATTTTACGGTGCCTTGATCTCAGTAGTAACAGTTACCCCAAGCCTGACCTAATGGAATTGGGCCAAGGCATGTGGATATTCTCATTACTCTGTTGGTGGGTCTTCCTTTGCTTTTTCATTTTATTTTTCTGTGTTATTGTTTAGATCAAATTGTTGATGACAATTGTGACTCCTCAATCTATGTCTTTTTAATGGTCTGCCATGTGTTAACCTCAGGCTAGTGGCATAATTGATTGCCCCTAATCTCTTTATGATGGATTTCCTCAAACTTTTTTTAACATACTGATACTAACGCCCCATTTTTGTCACGTGGATTCCACATGTCAGTTGATGTGCAGTCTTCCACGACGCTTGTACTTTCAAGGCTACGGTCTTTTCTTTTTCACACTTTATTTTTTGTATAAATAATTCAAGGGGTTAAACCTTTGAACTTTTCTCATTTGTTTCCATTCTCTTACCCTTTGTAATCATTATAAATACCTCATTTCTCTCTGATATTGCCTTCGAGATTTTCTTCTACTCCGCCTCATTTATATCCTTTAACTTATAAGTCTTCTTGTTTTGCATTATTTTTATTATCTGATGACTTTTTAGGGAGAATAATGAATGTGTGAGCTCGTCTTCATCCATTCTTACTCTTTTATTTATTTATTTATATGTCATGACTCATTCCCTCTGATATTTATATGACCACATTCTAAATGAGGAGGTGTGTTCTTTATTTTCTTGGGCAAATGAGACTTATTTGGGCATGTGAACCTATGTGTTTGTAGATAAAATATTTGCAATAGTTATATGACCTCAATGATTGTGGTTTTGATGATGAAAACACTATAAGGTAAAGTTTTCATTTGAAGGGATGACCATGTTGTTATGCTTGGAAGATCAAGATGTCAAACTTTAAAGGACGACACCTGATATCAAGCGGTGTTTAATGAAATCCCTGAAGATCTTGAGTTAAGAAATCTCTCTAATGATGGTGTCTACCAAAAAGCCTTATTAAGCCTCATCAGATAGAAAAAGTCAAATCCCAAAGTAAAATGTTGAATCTTTGATATATCTAGCAAGGGATCTTAAAGCCTTGGAATTTGTGAAAGAGATGAAGTGTGAAAGTTTATATGGTTTGTGTCTGAGTAATCAAAGTCTTATAAAAGATATTCTTAAATTATAAAGACAATGCACACACTTACCTAAAAGTGACTTTAACATCTCTTTTTGATAAGAGGTGTTCCTAAACAGTTAGAAGACTTATATACATGGCTTAATCGATTAAGGCCCTTAGCCAATCGATTGGAGCAAGGTTTAAATCTTCTTAATCAATTAAGAATTTTCCTAATTAATTATGACACTAAATAGACGTTGTAGGGGTTTCTTTTTATGAATTAGGGTTGATGTTTTTATGAAGCACATAATTGATTAGACCTAAGGAATATCGATTATGAGAATTAAAAAGTCCATGGATAGTTTTCCTTTTTTTAGCATATTTCTCACCTATAAATAGAGGTCTCTATTTACTTTCAAACCACACTAAAAAACATTTTTTGACACATTTTCTCACTCTCTACTCCTTTTCTTCTCATTTCTTCCATTTTACTAATGTTGCCTTAGTGCTTTAGGAGTGAAAAATACCAGTGAGGATTTTCTAGTGTATTATGGTGCAGGGGCAATATTGTAATTTGTGTAATAGGATTTTATCTCTTGTGGAAAATCTATTTGTAAGAAGTTGTTGTTTGGTTTATTAGATTGATTGCGAAAATATATGTTTGGTTCATGAGCTTTTCTGGTGCAAATCTCTTAGTTTGTGAGATTGTCCATGAAAATCTCGGTTTGATTCGTGAGACGTGTATATTGTAAACGATATCATTTGGTTCTAAGATTCCTTTGAAGTGAGACCATAGAAAATCTCGTGTTTAGTTTGGAGAATAGTCAGTGTAAAATTCCAAGTTTGTTTGTAAGAAGTTTCATGGGCATAACCTATGAAAAGACCACGTATATAATGGAAACTCTCAATAAGAAATTCTTGGAGAAAGGAGTGGGCCAAGTGGTTAGGTTGAACCTCTATAAATCTTGGTTCATATTTCTTATCCATGATCTCTTTTTTATTTTTATTATTTTCTTATTTTCGTTTTACCTATATCTCCTCTTCACTCTGATTACTTTTTATTTATTTATTCTATTGCTTACTATTTGTTTAAGTTTTAAAAAAAATTTGGACAACTACTTTTACCAATGATTTTTTAATTGAATTTTTTTCCAAAGAAACATAACCTTCGCCCTCTTATATTTGGATTCATTTTTCCAACAGGCACACCCTCAATCTACTCGAATCCATCTAAATTAAGAAATTTCAAAGTTGTTTCAAAAGTGGGAGGCCTTTCGGTTGCATGGAAGTTTTCTACTCCTTCTTTTATTGTTAGGGTCTATTAAGATTTCCTCCCACCATACATTTCATATGTTTGATTTGGTCTTCAAAGAGATGAGTTTCTTACTCCATTTTACCTTTTTCAAATAAGAGGTTAATTGTTACTTGGTCATGGCGCCTTCCCAAATGCATCTTAACTATTGGGCATTTTTGCGAGCCTTTCAATAGATTTTTCAATACTTGAATTATGATAGTTTTATCAAAATATTCTTCTACATCTTCCATGTTAGTTAGGAAGAAACCTCTTCAACTTTTGGATTGGTACATTTTAACAGTCTTTACGCTTATTTGAGCCTTCCACTGATTCTTTGAAGAACTTTAAGTATCATTTTATGATGATAGAACAAACCACGGCTAATTTCCGCTATAATATTTGTGATCAGAAAGAGGGGTCTCCTATTGGTGTATGTGGTTATGTATTTATTATATGTTGGAGTCAAAACATATATGGTCGAGTTTTGCAGTACAAATAGCAAGTGCAATATTATCATATCCATAGAGGTTAGTTATGCTTAAAGACGGATTCAACAATTTGTATTATTCTAAGTAAAAGTTTATAGTTTTTTGGTTGTAGAAAAGTAAATGACAAAAAACAAATGGAGATTTCAGTGTTAACAGTGAGAAAACTTACTAGGTATAAATTTCATCATCGTTTATACTCATGAAAACCATTGGTTGGTAATATGCTCTTCAACTCATTTATTAATATTACCACACATTATTTTCAATGTATCTCATCTCTGACTCAACGACATAAAATAAGTTGTATTACCTAATATGCAATCTTTAACATTATTAAATACAACAACATTAAGTTTCAGTAGTGTTATATTTTTGTTGGACCCTAGTAAGGGGTGTCTTAGGTAAAAGCAAGGAATGCCAACAAGGGGGCAATGGGCGAGGCACCCAGAATAGCCACCAACCGCCAATGAAGTCGCCAGCTGAAACAACAGGCTGAAAATCATCAGACAATAAAGTCGCCATCGAACATATTTTATCCCACATGAAGAGATAAGTAAACATCGAGAAAACATGAGAAGGGATAAGTCACGGTCTTGCAATCGAGAGATCGGGTAAGGGAGTTTGTTAGGCAATGGGAAGGTATTAGCACCTTACACGCCCGTAGTACTCTATGGTATCCACTATTGTTATCTATCTTATGGGCGTGTCTAGTCTATGTTACTGTTTATCACTGAGGAAAAATGCATGCAAAAGAAAGGAGAAAATAATGTAGGGAAAATAAAGTTGTGCTCGCTTGGCCCTACCCTAATTCCTACGTATCCTTTTTGAGGAATCAAAGTTACCCTAGTTCGGCTCATATATTTTATTTGTTTTATGTTTTTTATAAACAATCTTAATTCCACCTTCTGCCGCAGCTCGACCTTTGGAGACTCACGCGTTGGCAAATAAGTAAATTAACATGCCCTTACTTGAAAATGGTTTTGAGTTACGCCTTAAAGGCAAGATGCCACATTTGATAGGTTTGTGTTTTGTTACCTTGAAAAAGGGTTTAAGTATGCTTAGCATGTTTTATGATTTTCTATGAAAAACAAACTTTTAGTTTTAAATGCAAATGCAAAAGGAGAAGAAAAGAGTCCACATAAGGCTAGCATATTTCTAATCCTAATGTTATCATACAATGGTGGTCCTAATATTTGGATTAACAAAAGGGAAATGTTTACCTAATGTTAGCATGCATGTTTTGCAACCTAAGATCTAACTTGCATCCAAAAGGAACAAGCACATCCTAAGGGAACATGGTATAAAAAGCAGGTGAGCAAATAAGTTCGAAAGAACACACACATAAAACGGTAAAGAAAAGAAGAGAAATGCTTTAGCCAAGGGGAGCATATCACCCAAGGCAAATAAGCGGGAGAGAAATATAAAATACGAGAAATGCTTTAGCTAAGGGGAGCGGATCACCCGAAGCAAACAAGCGGGAGTAGGATGTAAAACAAAAATGTGATGTCCAAAGCGACTGAACACCTAACCAAGATATAGAAGATCGAGGTAGATGATAAAAGGAAATATGAACAATCATAGAGTGTTAGCATTGGCCAATGTGAACTCCTGACGAAGTGCGGGGGTTTAATTGCAGAACCCTTTTCCACTTGACGACTCGATAACAATAGTAGACACAATTCTGAAGCACCATGGTGCGTCACGAGCTAAGGATGACACAGACGAAATTACAGGGGTTGATTATGAACCCCTTCCTGCTCGCCTCCTTTTGAGGACTTATCATCTGTAACATATGCGAGCACAAATATAAACACACCTGTAAATACCTACACAAAGATAGGGTTTTAAACAAACCATACATAAGTAGCACACAATAGAAAACAATGTGGAATTTCCCTAAACTGGTCTTTAAATAAACTAGAGGGGTTCCTGACATGATCAGAAACACAGACCCCCGTCATACATCTCTATTCATACTTCTTATGGTATCAGAAAGCAGTAAATTTCCTACTTCTCATGATATCCAGAAAGCATTAAAGAAATGCGATAAAGTGTAGGAAAATGCAAAAGCAGTAGCGGCGACTACCAAAAGCAAGTAGATCGTCGAAAATGGACGAAAGCAATGGAGAAGCAGGGAGTGCACATCGAGTAAGGTTCACCAAGAAACAAGCAAAGTCAGAAACAATATCCAACTAAGATAAAAGCAAATGCATGTTGCGAATGCAACGCGTAATCAGAAGTTTCTGCTCAAAGCATCATAAAATATCACATACATCGGGACAACATATAATATAATATGAATTTCTCAGGACAATGAGAAATAAGGTGTGTCGCGTCGAAAGCGAGCATAAGTCATATGCTTCGATCACATAACAACTTATTATGTTACATGATCGAAAGCATAAAAAATGTATCTTGCACAATGAACGAACGTGTCAAAAATAACGAGACACAACAGTATGCAAATATGAATAAAACTAAAAGAAAAAGTATTTTGTATTAGTTTTTTATGTGAGAAAAATTCTATCAAAAACTAAAGAATTAAATTCTAAAATTGACTAAAGAGTTCTAACAAGTTTTATTGATTTTTACAATTTTATCATAACAAAAATATGAAAAAATTAAAAGAAAGTCTTAAATCTAATAAGAAGAATATGGGGATCAGGGGGTGCTAAGCTATGTGCTGGAGGTATAACCCTGCAATGGAAGTCTGGGCGCTAGGCCCATCCTGTTTAACCCCATGAGGCCCTTTTTTTGTGCACATCAAGCTTTAAAGAAAAAACTGTAGCGGACCTATGGAGCTTTGGCCCAGCCCACTTCAGACTTTAAATCTATCCAACATATTATTCATTTGTGTATGATTATTTAATATCAAAAATAAAACAAATAAATAAAAATTTTTAAACAAGATAATGAAAAGGGATTTAGGGTTAGATTGAGTGACCCTTGAGATCCTTCGAAGAAATCTCCTTCACCTCTCTTACTCAGACGGCACGACGGACTCTATCTTCTTATCACCACCGATCAAACCTCTCGTCACTTTCCCCGACGATTCTTGTCTCAGCGCCGCCTCACGCACAACATTATGTCCGCCATATTCACCATGAATACACTTCTCATATTTCCCTCTGTCTTACCTCATCAATGTTGCAGATTCAAGTTCATCTCAACCCTCCTCTTCGATTTTACGATTCATTTTTCATCATCTGTTTCTCATCACCTTCGAGTTCGCCCCGTCCAGCTCACTCACCTCTCCGCCTCAGATTCAGAGCAACAAAAAGGAGAGAAGAAATCAAAGAAGAAAGATTGAGAAAGAAGGTAATTACCTATCGGAGAAGTCCGGAGCTTCTTCAGTAGTGACATTTACGATGAAGAAAACCAGTGACTGCGGAGGTACTCCTCTCCTTCTCTGTTCTACTTCTGATTTCTTGCGTTGATGATGTGCGTGTGATGTTGACATGTGAGGTTGATGATGAACGTTGAAGATGCGGTTGCTGTTCGTTATTGTTGAGAAGAATCTGAAGTTCAGGGACGCAAATTTGTTGTTGCTCGTTTACAGAGGATGCTGATTATTGATGAAGAAGGAGATGAAGAATGGCCGGGTATTGATGATGATAGAAGCAAGGTGCACAGAGAAAGGAAATTGAAGGTTTTGCGTGAAGGTTACAGAGATGAATATTGAAAGAGGAAGTAGAGAGAATCAAGAGATATTTTTTCAGAGAGAGTGCATAATTCTCAGTTTTTGTATGATTCTTCAAAGAGTAAAGGATCAATCCATTGCTAGGTAAAATTCGGTTCTTTTTGTTCTATTATGTGTTAACCCGTATCTCCTCCTCTCTTTCTGTTATATCTGTAAGTAAGTTTGTTACAATTGGTTAGGATTCTGTTATAAAGTTGGGAGAGTTAGTTTATGTCAGTTAGAAGTTAGTTGTGTTAGTTTTAATCTGAACCATGGATCTCTCAATTCTGTTAGGAGAATGAAGGGTGAAGATTTATCCTGATGAAATGAGTTTGAGTTGAGTTTCAGATTTTCTCCTGATATTTCTGTTATGCAGTGAACTGATGAAACTGTGAAACTGGTCTTGTAATTCATATTTCTGTTTTTTTTTTTCAATTGAAAGAGCAAGGCTGAAAATGTTTTTAAAATTTGACACAGGTTTGGATATGTTGTCGCCACTGTTTTGGATTGGTTTTAGCAGGTTCGGCATCCTGTGGACTTTCTATTAACCTCGGCTTTCTTTATGAATCAATCCAACTTGAATATTAAGCAAACTAACACTAAGTTCACTCTTTTTTTCAGCTACCTCTTTGAATATTAAGCAAACTAACACTAAGTTCAATCCAATTAAAGAAAACCAAAATAGCCAACATAACTGTAAAAAAATTATGAATATTGAATCAAATATAATTTATTAATATGAAAACGCAAATATAAGGAAGAAAAAATATGGAATTAAGCAATGAAGACGAGAGAGTTCAAAATGTATTTTTTTAAATCCAAAACAATCCATTGATATGTTATATTGTGTAGTTTCACAAGGTTGCAATTCTTGTCTAAACTTACACTTTCAATGAGTATCGTAACAATTTTCACTAATTGTTACAACTCTTTACCAAGTAATACAATTCGAATTCAAAAATAATAAATTAAAGTAACGATCACTGCCATGTGTGGTGGTTCGCCACCACTAGCATCTCTACACCAGTCAGAGCCGGTGTCGCCAAGTGAACTATTTTTTATTTCTAATGCAACATTTTATATATTTTGTTTAAATGAATAAAAATTAAATATAATCACAAAAAGTGAATTCACTGTGGTTACAAATAAATCACATATTTTTTATTAAGAATGCACAAAGAGTTTTCTCAATGCAATTCCTAAGAGCATCTTCAACCATGAACTCATTTTTGGGTTCTTTGCGAGACTCGTTAAGTCACGTCAGTTTGAAGTAACTCAATTAATTTTTCACTTCAATATTAAAGAACTCATATTAAGTCCCACAATTTTATCTCATATATTAATATTTTATTTTTATTAATTTAAATTATTAAATTTATAAAAATATACAATAAATAAATTAAATTAAACTTAAAATTCAAAATAGTAATTAAAATTAACGTAAAATTAACATTTACAAAAAATAAATTGTTTATAAAATTATTAATGTGAAGTAAAATTTAATATATAAATCATGTTTGTTAAATTAAAAACAAAAAGCAGAAAGAAGTATGAATATTTAATTTATTATTTGTTGAGTTCTATGAGCGTTCCAGTGCATACAACAGTTGGCCACGGTGGCCAACTTCAATGGAGAGAAAGTTTGAAGCAATACATTCCAACTGAAAAACTAGAGAAAAAACTCCCCAAAGAAATTACTCTAAGAGCATCTTCAACTGTAAACTCATTTTTAAATTCTTTGTGGGATTCATTAAATCATATTAGTTTGAAGTAACTCAACTAGTTTTCCACTCTAATGGTGTAATTCTAAAGAATTCATATTGGATCTCACAATTTTACTTTATATATATTAATATTTAATTCATATTAAATTTTATATTATTTAAAATAATAATTTTAATTATTTAAATTAAAATTGATATAAAATAAATAAAATTCAAAGTAAACTTATAATTTAAAATGATAATTAAAATTAATTTTAAATACATGTCCTATAATTAAAAACAATAAAAATAAATAACATCACATAAATTAATCAAACTTAAATTTTCATGTCCAAAATGTTTCCAAATAATTATTAAAGTAATATAAAACTTTTTTAAAAAATGAAATAAAACCTATAAAAACTAATATTTATTATGTTTATTGTTATTTAATGTGAAACAACGCATCAGGATGCAACGGTTGTCCAACTTGAACAACTCCAATAAAATTTGCTTTTAAAAAATATTACTCCAGTACGGAGAACTTGGAAAAAAAATTCTCATTAAAATTACTCTAAGTTACAGTTATCACTAGCGCCTCGACATCCCTTGTTCAAGTCGATGTCGGTTAAAATGTATAGATAACAAATAAGATAAGATTTAGGACCACCATAAAAAGTAAATTATTTTTCATTTCTAATATAATATTTTACATATTTTATTTAAATGAATAAAAACTAAACATAATCACAAAAAGTCAATTTGTTGTTGTTACAAATAAATCACTTTTTTTTTTTTTAAGAATCCACAAAGAACTTTCTCAATGCAACTCCTAAGTTAGAGCTTTAGAGGTAGTTTTTAATTTGTTTAAAACAAGTTTTGGTTTTATCCTCATATTTTTATTCTTTTTGTTTATGATTTCCTTTTTCCCTTTGTTATTTTCTCTTTTTAATTAATTTTTTTTTAGCTCTTAAAAATAAATAAAACAAGAATGACTATTACACAAAGTGCCCTACAAGGGAGAGCAAGCAAACAAACTTGAACCACACTTGATATAAAAGAAAAAACATGGCATAGACATTTCATATTTTAACTGACAACTCATATAGGAAAATGTATTGATAAAGATAAAGAAGCAAAGATATCCATGCTTCTATGTAACGAGTCTTTAAGCTTTTCTTAATATTTATTTATCTAAATCAATACTTACAGATTTCTTTATTGTTCAGCCCAGCTATTTAATGAGTACTTGATCTGACCTGATCAGAAGGTTTGGACCGTCACGGCTGCTCCGAGCTGAAGGCTTTTTAGAACGAGGAGGGGGGGGGGGGGGTACCTGCAAGGCACTCCGATGCTTAAGTCAGTGGGAGTACTAGCAGATCATAGAGTTGAGGTTAGAAATGATGATTACCTGACCCTCTGGAAACAGAGGGTATTTATAGCCCCCAGCGCTGGGCCAAGGTTCCTTCATTGGGCCGGGCGGATTTGGCCCAATGGAGGAACTGCCAGGTTCTACGTGGGTAGTGGGGATCAGCACGTGGTCCCCTTCCTGGAGGTGCTGCGTGAAGTGCGGGCGGACAGAGACGCGGTCTTTACGGAGTATCGTTGGGGCAATGGTGACTGGGTCTGCCCTAGCAAGGTAGCTCGAGTCTATGTCGAGCAGTGCAGTACGGTGTCGAGCTTGACGCCAAGACCCCGAGCTGGACAGCGAATGTCGAGCTGGAAGCCAGGGCATGGAGCTGGACGGCAACCTGTCGAGCGTGACTTCGTCGCGCGGGCTGGACACTGAAATGTCGAGGTAGACATCAGGGTGTCGGGCATGGACGTTGTGGTCCTTAGTGAGTCCCATTGGATTGGGCCTTTGCCCATTGTGGTCCTTAGTGAGTCCCATTGGACTGGGCCTTAGTAATGCTTTTGGGCATGTCGGGCCCAGTCCAGAACAGGAGCCCCCCAAGTCGTGGTTCCTTTGCGAGGAGCCATGACTTGAAACCAAGTTGTTCCGTCGCTGAGGTCTCGTGCCCGGAATGGAGGCGTGGGCCCTCGAGGGGCCTCCTCGTGCCGTGCTCGGGAACGTCCTCGGTGATGGATGCGTGGAGGATCCGTACCGGGCACGTTGGTCGAGCACGCGAGGCATCTTTTGGGAGTTGTGCCGCCACCCTAGGGGGGTAGGGCCATCATTGCGTTGGGTGCAGTGCGTCGAGGAGACGGAGTCCGTGGCTAAACGAGGTGACGTTTGGTATTCCACGTCCTCACTATAAATAGGGTCCTTGGGCCCCATAATACGCTTTCCGTTCTTCGTGCTCTCTTCGTTGCAACTCTCAACACTCTCTCCAACCGTGACTTCCCGTCTCAGATTCTTCATTTCCTAGCTGAATCCCATCTTTGATCCAAGTAAGTGATCCACTTTCTTCATTTTCCTGTTTTAGAATGCATGATTCTTGGAAATTGTAGATGTTTTAGGACCGTTAATGTGGGATTAGCCCGGTAAACTCGTGTTTTGCCCGACAGATTTATGTCTAGGACCGGCAAACGCATACTTGTGGCCGACATATTCTTAGTTTTAGGTGAAAAACTTCAGAGCTGCCCGGGGCCTTCATGATCCTGGGCGCCTGACTCATGCCGATGCCCGGTATGTTTATGGTCGTGGCCGTGGGCTTCATGATGCGGCCCGCCATGTTCATACCCCGGATCGACGTGCTTGAAGAGTGGCCGCGCAGTTGGTTTGTGGAAGAACATTGGATTCAGGAGAGTCGGGGAGGCATCCACTTGTGAAAATGGACTTGTGGTAGTGTATGGACGACATGATTATGTCGAGCATAGGGCTTCATGCTCAATCTGATTGGTTTCCCGTGCTCTGCAGGTAACCATGGCGGATGAGCCGAGCTCTTCAGGTCGTCGTGACAGCGAAGAACAAAGTGCCGACGAGTCGGCCAACCTTATAGACACTGTGACCGACCCATCGCTGGAATGGGTGGGCGCCGAGCCTCGGGGGACGGCGTCGATATACAGTCGGGATGACCGACATCCGTTCATCGCTATCGAAGGGGGGCAGGACCAGCCCGACTTTCAACCGAATTTCGAGGTCATGCTGCCGTCGACCAACGCTAGAATTTGTTCGATGTACCCGGACTACAGCTTCGCGATGTACGAGATCGCGTTTAAGGACTTGGGTTTGCGGCTGCCTTTCACAGACTTTGAGACCGGGGTTTTTACGCATTTGGAGCTGGCCCCGTCCCAGCTACACCCTAACTCTCTCGCCTTCATCCGGGCGTTTGAGCTGACGTGCCGCTACTTAAGGATAGGGGCGACCATCCCTCTCTTCTTTAGGGTCTTCCATCTACAGCGTCAGTCCCGAGGAGGGAAGCACAGCTGGGTGTCCTTGAAGCAGTCGAGGAGACTGTTTAGGATGTACATGGACTCTGTGAGGGGGTTCAAGGATAAGTGGTATGTGGTACACCCTATCACCGACTCTGCTGTGGATTCCCTCTTCGAGGAGGAAGGGCCGGTCAGCGATGATGATGGGGAAGCAATGTTGACCGATGACGGGAGCCCCGTGCTAGGACGTCGGGCTAAGTTCCCGGTGTACTGGATGTCTCGACACTTCCAGCATGGAACCGGCTACTTCCATACTGCAGTCGGGGACATGTGCACGGAGGATCAACGGGCGTATGCGGCTCTCTGTAACTTTGTCGACGGTTTTCATCCCGCCCAGTGGGTTACACGGGAAGGGAATGACATCCTCGACAAGGATGGTTACCCGACATTCGAGGCTCGCCCGATTGATACCAAGGCGTTGGTGGAATGCTCGACCTATAGGGAGGCAGCC